CTCTCTAATAGATATCTAGCGCGCCTAATTATTCTATTCTAGAGAGTAATAGTAGTAAAGGTACTACTTTAAGATCTAGTTTTATCTTTTAGTCTAGCTATTAGTCTAAGAATAAAAAGTAGAAGTAAGAACTTTTCTAGCATTAAAGTAGTAAAAGAAAGAATTCTAATACTTAGAGTTTATTAAAGAGCCTTAATCTAAAATAATATACTTTAGTACACTATAAAGTTAGATAACTTTGCGTATCTAGGCCTATACTAGGTTAGTACTATTCTAATTAGTCTATACTAGTACGTAATAGGCTATTTTAGTTAATCTATTTATAATAACTAGTATAGCGTTATACTTTATACTAAAAACTATACTAAGTAGTAGTTTTATAATAAAGTCTATTATTACTTTCTTCTAAGAGTAGTTAGGTATTAGAAAAGACTATAGTAAACTATAAAGTCTATATTTTATAGAAGTAAACTTTCTATATATAAGATAATTCTTATAGTATTACTTTATATCTTTATATATACTCTTCTAAAAGTAGCGTCTCTATAGCTTTTCTAGAGTATATTTTACTTTAAAGTAGCCTACTAGAGAGTTATTATAATATTCTTAGAAAACTTATAACTTCTCTTTAGTAGTTACTAGTGTTCTTACTACGTAATAGCGCGTTTTAGCTCTATCTAGACTAGACTAGTTAGCTTTAGACTTAGACTTATCTAAAGTACTTAAGAAGGCGTAATTTATTTTATTACACTTCTCTAGAGTCTAGAGCTCTAGTATAGTATATCTACTAGCTTAGTTAAAGCTCTCTAAACTCTTAGTAAAGTTTTATTATTTCTTAGTACGCTTAGTAGAGTATATCTATACTATAGCTACTAAAAAAGAGGTTCTATTACTATTAGTTATAAGATCTCTTATAAGCTAGATAAAAGCTTTATTATACTTCTAAGTAGGTTTCTAAGCTTCTACTATATAGTTAGAGTAGTAAGAAGACTTATCTATAGAGTTAGTAGACTCTACTTTATAGTAGATATTAAAATTAAACCTAAATAGTATAATATAAGACTTAACCTATTAATAGTTAAGAGTCTTAGTCTTTATAAACTATTTTAGGTTCTAATAGTTAGTCTAGAGATTAAAGTATATACTCTCTAGATATTAGCGCTAATACTTTAGACTCTTAACTATTATAAGTAGCTTCTAGTTATATATATTATAATTATACTCTACTATAATAAGCTTACGTAAAAAGAAGTTAACTAGACACTATTAGTACTCTCTAGCTCTATTTAGTATATATTAGCTTAATATACTTATAATTACGCTATCTAAGGCGTCTACCTTAGCTTTAGTCTTTTTATCTTACTTAAAGTAAGTTAAAATAAAAATACTTAGAAAAGAGTCTTTTAGCTTCTAAAAGGCCTCTTTAGCTTTCTTATTAAGATTAAGAACTTAACTCTTCTCTCTCTACTAGGCGCAGCTACTCTTAGCTACTTCTAGCCTTTTCTAGATTAGTTTAGTTAATAGTAGAGTAAGTTAGAAGAATCTAGTAATAAACTACTTATAGTAGTTTATAAAGCTAATAAATACTTAAATCTTACGCACTATACGTAGTTTAGGCTATTTCTAGATTATCTTAATTCTATTCTTATTAATTTATATTCTCTTAGAGAAAACTATATACTTAAGGTACTTAGTGCGCTAAGTATACTACTTATACTTTAGAAGCTTTAAAAATAGCTTTATATTATATAATCTATATAAGACTTTCTTAATATAGCTCTTATACTTCTCTTTAGTATTAGAGAAAATAAGAATATTATTTAAGTATATAATATAGGTTATATTAATTAATTCTATAAGAACTTAATAGATATAGGCCTAGAACTATATAAAAGCGTTTATAAGACTAAAAAATATTATAGTATACTTAAAACTACTATATCTTATATAGAAAGTAGTTTTCTACTTATTACTCTCTTTAATATATACTCTATAGTAAGCTTCTTTTATATTAAGTTTAGTATAAAATTTAGCGCTAGCTAATCTTTTTAGAAACTTTATAATAAGTAGTAAAAAGTGCTAATTCTTAATAGTAACTTTATTAAAGCCTCTATAGTTAACGTATAGGTATATACTACTATCTTTCTTCTTAGTAAAAAGTATAAGCGCTTCTACTAAGAACTTACTATATCTAATTTACTTTTACACTAAGTATTTATCTAAATACTTATATAAGAGCTCTAACTCTATTTTAGAGAGGTTATATAATAGCTAGTAAAGCGCTATAGTTTTAAGTAGTAAGTTAATAGCTAAGTCTTATAAACTATAGTTAGTAAAAACTCTTAAGTTATCTTTTAATCTAAAGTGCGTAAACTTAGCATATTATAGAGGTAAACTACTCTCTTTAGCTTCTTTTAGACTAGACTAAAGTATTAAGGTAATAAAATAGCTATATATATCTACTATAGAATTACGTATAGTCTTCTTAAACTTCTTAGCTTCTTCTAGCGTAATCTTTTTATAAATAGTTTTATTTTTAGACTTAGTACTCTAAAAAAGTAGTCTTTATATAGAGTAGCTAATCTTTAAGTAATACGCGTTTATCTAGAGTAGATCTAAGTATATCTAATACTTATAGACCTCTATAATAATATATAGAATATTCTAAGTCTTTTATTTTCTATAAAAATCTACTACCTTTATAGTTACTATAGTAGTACTATAAATTTTTAATTCTTTACTATTTACTCTATTTACTAATAGCTTAGATAGAGAGTAAACTAATAAGCTTTACTCTACTATAAGTAACGCTAAAATAAGGTTTAACTAGAAACCTCTATTTACTAGAGTCTTAATAGGCTCTAATTAGCTAAGTAATATTTTTACTATTAGTAGCTTTGCTAGTTTTAGGTAAAGCGCGTTATAAAGAAGTTCTAAGTTCTAGAATACTAGGTCTAGAGTAACATAGGTAGCTAAGAAGAACTCTAGCTTCTCTACTTACTACCTTTTTTTAATTCTTAACTAGATAAGCTCTTAGAGTCTCTTTTAGACTTTAGATAGTTTCTTTAGAAGTATCTAGTTTTATTATATTTCTAATAAATTATATTAAAGTCTTTTAGACTATTTTAGTCTAATTTAGCTAGTTATAAGTTAGATTTTACTAAACTTACTTTTTTAGCCTTTTTCTAGGTCTAAGAAGACTCTAAAAAAGAGTTCTAGATCTAATAGCTATAGAATTTATTCTTATAAGCTAGATACTTAGAAAGTGTAGTAGTACGCTTTATCTTACTTTAATAGTAGTAAGCTAAGGTATTAAGCTTAGAGACTATATTATAATCTTCTAAATCTTAAAGTAAGAGTTCTTTTTAAATATTAGAAAGAAAAGTACTTATAAAGTCTATACAGCGCTACTTTTTAGCGTAGTTACCTAGTTTACTCTAAAGCGTATTAAGGTAAACTAAAAAAGAGTTAGAATTCTAATCTAGTCTCTATTTAGCTTATTTAAGCTTATTATAAGCTATAAAGTATTATAATAACTTAGAACTAAGCATATTAAGTATAACTATTTTAAGTTTCTTCTAAGTAAGCGTTTAAAACGTCTTAAGCCTTATATAGTTCTAGAAGTAGGTATTTTAAGTAGAGTAAGTAGTTTTATCTAGAAATCTTATAGTAAAGTCTACTTTCTAGATACTTATAAAGAAAATAGAAAGTACTTCTCTAAAAATAGCTTTATAATTACGCACTTAGTAGTTATACTATAAGTAATTATATATAGTAAATATTTTTAAGTTCTTAGAGTATAAAGCTTCTAAGTTTAACTAGAACTTACCTTTTAAAGCTAAAGTATAGTAGATAATATTTTCTTTAAAAGCTAAGTAGTTACTTATAAGTATCTTACGCTTTAATTCTTTAAAATAGACTATATCTTAATAAGTACGCTCTAATTATTTCTACTTACGTAACTTCTTAAGTTTATAAGTTAAGATAGCTTATTTATTTTTACTTTTACTAGTAGTAGCTTATAAAAGCCTAGTTAGCTCTAAAATAAACTTTAATAGCGCGTTACTATTTCTAATAATTAAGGCTAAGTTAGTAATACTTAAAGAAGCTTCTAATAAGTTTATAAGTTTCTTAGTAGGTAGTATTACTACTTCTAGAGATATAAAAGCTAATTTCTTTTAGTTATTATCTATTATACATAATAATAGTATAGCTTACTTACTACTATGTTATATTACGCTAGAGAAACCTACTTTAGAGCTTATTATATCTAAATAGTGTATATAAGAGTATTATAGAGTAGAGTAATTTAAATATTAAATAATAGAGTTAGTTAAATACTAGATGTATAATATTAAACTATAATTAGGTATATTATTCTAGAAAGACTAGAGACAAATTGCTACTAAGCTATAATAGCAATTCTAAGGTATTTATAGCTAATACTAAGTTAGCCTAGACTTTTTAGAGCTAGAACCTAATAAAAAGTAGCTAAAATATTATTAATAAGTATATATATTTTTTAGAAACTATACTTAACGCCTATAACTTTAATAAAGAAAATATTAGTAGCTATAGTATAAGTTATAAAAGTAATAAAGATACTAAAGTATATATTATATATTTCTTAACTATTAACTTACTATAGTATATATAATTTAATATTTTAGTTTTTTTTTATTTTATTTATAGTACTATAATAATATAAAGTAAAATAAGCTACTTATAATTTCTAAATTATATAACTACTATATACGTAAAGGTACTCTTTATTAAATTAAGAGAGATTACAATTCTTAGAGTCTAGTTGTAACAAGTACAGGCACGGTAAAATGTTTAGTGTGGAAAGAAAAACATTTAGATTCATTCTCATCCTTTGTTTTAGAACCAAGTCGCCTTGTCCTCGACTCTTCCTTCGTCCACTAGAGCGGCCCGATCATTCCCTGCTCTCTAACCTCTTCCAGCGCTGGAGCTGGTCCATGATCCTTGAACAGATTAACTTAGGTCTCACGCTTCTCCGATCCAGCGTCCGGCGCGGGAGCTGGTCCGTCATCCTTGAACAGATCGATGTAGGTGTCACGTTTCTCCGATCCAGCGTCTGGCGCAGGAGCTGGCCCATCGTCTTTGAACAGATCGATGTAGGTGTCCCGCTTCTCCGACCCGGCGTCCGGCGCGGGAGCTGGCCCATCGTCTTTGAACAGATCGATATAGGTGTCACGCTTCCCCGAATTGGCCCTATCAGAGCGTTTGTAGGCGCCACCACCCTCTTCCGGTGCGGGAGCTGGCCCGTCATCCTTGAACAGATCCACGTAGGTGTCGCGCTTCTTAACGTCCTTCAATTCTTCTGCATGAGCTTCGACACTTAGTAAGTTTACTTTCTTATCCGTGGGTCAGGGAAGGACATACGCGAAGCGGTCGCTGCTGACAAGCCAGCCAACGCGACGAGAAAAATCAAACTCTTGTGCATCTTGAAAATTGTGCGTAAACGAGAATATGATAATCGCTTATGAAGATCCGTCTTGAACAATACAAGGCGTTTGTAGGGCGAAAGATGATTATTCTGTGGGGTTTCTGCTCAGCTATTTGTACATCACTCTCCACTGGTAAAGAAATCGATGATCGAACACTTACCTGGTGATAGAGCTGCTCTTCTGCATCGTGACGCGGCCTGTTGAACTTACGAAAGAGCTGACCGAGCAGCAACGCATATCTTGAAAGCTTAAAGAAATGCCATGAACCTGTACTCACTACGCTGGTTTACCATGCGATGACTATCCCTACTTGATGGGTAGTTTGATAGTAGTCGGCCGAGCCGTGTCTCGATTGAACATGATTGAACATTGATTGTAAGGTTTGTCACTTGCATAGTGCATAGTGAGGCTACCGATAGGACGTATGGGAGAGTGAGCAGAATAATGACGTATCTCAAGCTTACCGCCGAACTGCATACTGAACCGGAACTGCCGTGTTGTGACTACCCAGGTACCCCCACTCATTCGTTGGGATCTGTCAAGGTGCCTTCTGACCGAATCGGATACTTTGAAAGTGAAGCTATCGTCTATGACGGAATTATACTGCATTCATTTAGTGGGCGCTAATCGCTCCTATACACTCGATGTAACTAGATAGACTGAAGCTCCGGCTAATCTGACGACACTTCAGACGGGTATACCAGCTTGGTTCGCCTCTCTTCCAGGCTAGCTGCAGAGGTAGAGGTACGAAGTCAGTATATGTCTCACATGCATTTCGTACAGCCAGGACTTACCATTAAGCATAAACATCTCACCGCAATGTCTGATATGTCCCTCATCCGATGCGGTCATATGCATCACAATGCCTGTGAATTGCTGTCGGAACTGCTTCCTCCACGAGAAGATGCAATGCACAACATGTTGCTCGTAGGTAAACCATATGGTCCTCCCGGGCTCGATCAGCATGGATAGCTCGGTCCCGTTGATGAGACGGTACTTGCCATCCATCTCCGTCTGGTATAGCCAGGCGCCCCCCTTGTCAGAACGAGAGGCTGTCGTGAACTCATGCGTGAGATCGAAGTCAATGCATTCCGGTCTCAACCAACATAACTCAATCTCATCGAACTGGCAGTTCCGCGAAATTCCCTCGGCAGTTGTGAATCCGCACAGGCATGGGGCGTCATCCCGTGTCAGCGTTTCGATCGCTTGGGCTCCGACCGCGTAAGCTCCGCATATAGCCAGGGTAGCAACGAGAACTGCAGCAACTGTTCGTAGGATGAGGTTCTTCCGTGGCTTGGATGTGTCCTTGCTGCTCTTTGGGTAGAGTGAGGTAAGGCCGATTCGCTCCTCTATGGTGCTTTCAGATTCGGCTTCCGCGCCCATGCTCGACTGTTGGAGAACAGTCATGAAGCGTTGGAACATTGATCCTGTATACTTATGATTAAGCTGAGTCCTGGCTCCGCATTCGTTCCGTGTGGTTTGGTACCTTTCTTCCTGTTTCACGGGTTAAAAAGAGAGGAGTGGTATGCTTCACGAGCGAGAAGAGTATGGGCGTGTACGTAAAGACTGCACAATAGTAGCGTGTCGCTCCAATGGTGATGTTATTATATTCGGTCGATCTTCTTGTAGTTGGCTTCAGCTGACATAATATCCAGGAAATAACAAAGTTTGACTAGAAAACGCGCAGTCTTCGGCTTCGGCTTCGGACGCGGAACTCGACCTTCAACAGTTCTAACGTGGTACCTAGGTAGCTTTCGACAGGCCCGCGGATGTGCCGAAGCAGGACCGTACCTACGCAACCTGCATGCAGTACCCCTCAGTAATGATGCTCCGAAGGCTCCGTCCCGCGATATCGATCGTAAGTATCTCATTGTGATGCTCGTTATCGTTGTTGCCCCCAAAAGCGCGCAGCGGGCTCAGCTATCTCCCGATGACTTTGTATGCTGAAGGCATTGCACGTAATAGATTCTCACACTTTTTCAGTGCTTACCCTGCAATATGAATCACTCATCGCATAGAGCGCCTCGAAGTGAAGACCCCGAAGAGTCAGAGGGGCTTTTGCCATCCACGGTTCCAAGCGGTGAAGCTCGCACCAAATCCGCCACGTCTCTCCCACTGCTTTGCTCATGCTTGAGGTACGCTGTGGTGGCTATCTTGTTCTTCGTCTTAGGCTTGATATCCAACAGTGGATACCTGCGCAATGAACGGGGCTCATCTGGTACGTGGTCTTCCTGTCGCTGGATACGTGACTAACACAGTATGATATAGAGCCATCGTTTTTGGAAGAGATCAATCGCAGCACTCACCCCAACCATACCAACGTTCCTGTCTTCGCAGGAAGTAACGGACGGGCCCTCGACCTAGACTCTCTAGTCTAAGTTAGAACAACCTACCTGCGTACGCCCGCTTAACGCAGCCTTTAAGCCTGCTAAGGCTACGTAGCACCTTAGGCGCCTACTACTTTAAGTAGCTACTTATCTAGTACCTTTATAATATACTTATACTTATATACTTACTTATACTTATACTTATACGTCTACTTATACGCGCTACTTTACGTACTATATAATACTTAATTACTTTATACTATACGTATTATATTATATTATACGTATATACTAATATACTAAATATAGCTTTATATTTAGCTACTTTTATAAAAATACTATTACTAGTAATATTATAATACTATTACTCTTAATATAGATAATTACTCTACTATATAAATACCTATACTAATATAATACTTAACTAATATATTATACTATACGCTTTATAAGTACTTAAGTAAGAAAAAAATACTTCTTTAGATTATTCTATATCTTTAGCGCTTTTATAAATTCTAGCTTAGTATTACTTATTTTTTACTAGCTAACCTAAATAATTAACACCTTTAGTAGATTATTCTACTACTTTATAAATATATTTTTAGTACTTTTTAAATTACTTATTTTTTATTAGCTTACGCTATATAGCTATATATATATATATATATATATATATATACTTACTATATATTTACTTACTTCTTTATATTTTTAAAGAACTATCTAAATAAACTAAGCTATTACTATAGCTTTAGCTTTAACGCGCTAGTTACTTTTTTATTATTTTTAGTAACTTTAGCTACTTTTCTATATATAACTATCTCTACGCTTAAAAACTCTAAGTCTATTTTATTTATAATCTATATTAAGTAGCTTTTTAGATCTATATATAATTAGCTACTATATATATATATATATACTATAAAATACTTACTAGTTATAACTAGTTCTAGAATAGAAAGCGTTATCTTATTTAAACTTATTTAATCTTATTTAAACTTATTTAATACTTTTAAATATTTTTAGAGAATATTTTATAAAAAATACTTCTTTAGATTAAAGTTCTTATAAATACGCTATATACTTCTTTACTACTACTTTTTTGTACTTAATATCTTATATATAGTTCTTAGCCTTTTCTCTCTCTTTAGCTCTTTAGCTACTACGCTTTAAAATATAATTTAAATTAACTTAGAATATCTACTACGTCTTAGCTACTTAACTTATACTTACTATACTTACGCTTTTTATCTTATTTGCAGCTGTAATAATTGCGCTTACTACCTCTTCTTAAAGTAACAGACCTATCTGGCAGTAACCGCCAAGTCCAGAAGTTGACGCAACATGGCATGCGCTAACCTCCGGTTATCCATTTTTGATAACAGAGGACGACATGCGCATCCTTGGCAAAGATCCAGACCGCTATATCAGTGTCCCCCAAAGCTTCGGCTACGGCGAAAAGAAGTTCATCACCCGATTCGCGCATCCACATAACATTCACTGCCTCGATCACATCCGGAAGCGCCTTTACCGTGATTATTACGGATACCCAAAGTAAGTTGTAGCCGCGCAAATTGCATGTGAGATATACACTGACTCCGTATCTTCACATTTGTAGCGATACAATGGATTGGATCCATACCGAGCACTGTCTCCACGCCTTGGTGGATCATTTGACGTGCTACGTCCAGTACGATGTTCTCAACTACATGTGGGTCGAAGGAGAGCCAGCGGCGGAACCTGAGCTCACCTACAATCGTCAATGTCAAGATCTGGACGCGCTGCTACGCTGGAGCAAAGATAACCGTGTCGACAAAGATTTGCGAGTATACTATATTCAGCCGGCTGCGGGTGATAAGATCTTTCCCGCAGACGCAGAGTTCCGCAATATCGAAAACGAGTACGACCAGAACAACCCCGACCGACCGTCAATGGAGGATCGACGAAAGACTTACCAGAAAGCCTACCAAGATGCGATAAGCTATTGGGAAACAACAGGAGAAGTGCCGATCGAGGAACGACCTTGGTAGTAAATATTACTTCTATCACTTGAAGATACCGAAGCGCACAAGGGGATTTGGTTTCAAAGATCTTGCTATCGGACGAAATTGGGATATGCACTGTTAGTATGGAGGCAGTGTTTCGTCACTTACACGGGTATGGGCACTGTATTCACACTCCCCTACTGTGTAGTATGATCTGTTCAGGCATCACCTCCAGTCAGCCATCAGGAATGCGAGTTTGAGGTGGGTGTGATCGCCAAATTCCGAGTTATCAGCACTGGCGATATCTAGTCAGCTCTGATGTAGCATCCAGCTTGGCCCATTATTTCATCATCACTACGAATTTATTACCTCTACTCTCTCTTTCAGGTGAATGATATTGTAGGTGGACGCAATTTAGTACAAGCTCCGCGTACTGCATGCGGCGCAGGATATGCGGCGTGCGACATGCGTCATGCGGACTACACCGGGTTCCGCCGATTCGACCGCGAAATATCGTGCGCTGCGATCGCGCAAGCTGAAGAGTGTCTGCCCAAGCGAACTTGGGCGTGCGCGCATGGCGAAAGAATCGGACAAGGAGACAAGCCGCTCTTCCAATGCTAGCTATTGTTGCCTGGTGGGCCCGGCCAGTAGCGAGCGAGTTGCATGACTTGGATGCATCTACGGCCTTAACGTCGACGATGGCTATCTCCGGTCTGGCCCAACTTTTCGCCGACTACATGAAATGCGGCCGAGGGTGGGCGCGCATTGTTTTCCTCTTTCGCGAATACAATATAGCTCCTATTTAGGCCGCTTGAGTTAGTCTAGACGCGTGTATATATCCAATGTCTCGCCTGTCGCTCCCGTCTCGCATCATACGAAGGCTACTCAGTGAATCGCGAAACTACCAGGTTTGGGGGAAACGTCAGCCCTTTTGGCAAAAACCACACTTTGCTCGGACGCTCAAGATGAGTTCAATAGGTGGTGCAAGTATTGGCGTAGGTCTTTACGCCGTGGTAAGCAATCCAGCACAGATTGCTGCGAAACCCGAGGAAGCCGATGAAAAGAGACATCACCTGAAGAACGGCAAGGGGTTTACGAACCCGTGGGATAGCTATATCGAGTCAAGTGCTTGGGAACTGCAAATCAAGGGTATGCTCTGGTAAGTCCGGCATACGGGAATTTTATGAAGACTTTACAAGTTGCGAACTAACACTCCGTGGTAGGCGCAAGATTACCGGTCAAGCCCACAATCCAGACACCTCGCCACCGACAGTACCAGTCCACAAACCAATGTTCCTTCCCTCCCGAGAGACACCACGACTTCGTGCAACATGGCTCGGTCACGCATGCTACTATATAGAGTTCCCGAGCGGCTTTCGTGTTCTCTTTGACCCGGTCTTTGAAGAATGCTGTGCACCGTTCACTATAAAGAGCCTTAAACGCTACACGCCCCCTCCATGTGAGATTGAAGATCTACCAATTGTCGACGCAGTGGTTATAAGCCACAATCACTACGATCACTTAAGCTACCCAACAATCCAGCGCTTGAAAAAGAAATTCCCCGAGGCGCATTTCTTTGCGCCCCTAGGAAATAAAGAGTGGTTTGAGAAGAGCGGGGTTACGAAAGTCACAGAATTGGATTGGTGGGAGAGTAGAGATGTCAAGTTGGAGGAATTGTCGCAAAAGGGGGGTAGGGCTGGCTCTGTTTCTGTGAGTTCGGTGGACATGGGCAAGACTAGTGGTATTACAGCAACGATTGGTGCGCTGCCTTGTCAGCATATCAGTGCAAGGACGCCCTTCGACAAGGCCAAGACGCTCTGGGCAAGCTGGAGTGTGGAATCTGGCGGAGCGAAGGTCTACTTTGCTGGGTACGTCTGCTTTGTACCACACTCATGACTCATTCTTTATGCTGACCCTACCCAGTGACACAGGCTACCGCACGGTTCCGGCTAGCATTCCAACCACAGAAGACGACTACTCGGCTGAGTACTCGCACTTACCCACTTGCCCGGCTTTCTCACAGATCGGTCAACATCGCGGCCCCTTCGATCTCGGTCTTATCCCTATTGGC